AAATTGCCTCTTGATTTTGCAGAGAGGGAGAGAGTAACATTGATGTGTGGTGTGAGAGAAACATCGGCCAGCTGCCCTGTATGCACCCCAACCAGGAATCAAATCCATAACCTAGGCATGTGCCCTGACCAGAAACTGCACTGGCAACCTTTCAGTTCATGGAGAGATGCTCCAATCAAGCCATGAGGCCGGGGCTTCCTCTGCTTTCTGGAACTCAGCTGTGGGAGCTGGAAGCGGTGCCCTTACTTTTCTAGATTGACCCAAAAGACTAAATCTTATGGAGAAATTTCATGCAAAATGAGAGAGGAAGGCTGGTGGGGAAGATATTAAGGCAAGAAAAGTCTCACCTCTACAGTCTAAAAATTAAACCAGTAAAGTGCTACCGGGTAAGGATAAACCAGACACCAAGATAAATAAAGTGGCCTGATTGTGAAAAAGGAAAACCTTTAACTGTTTGGGTGGGGTCAGTTCCAATTGGAGCAGAAACAGCCAAATTATGTGCAAACCTTATATTTTGACACCAGTTTTTATTGATATTTTTACCACTTTAAAGGAAAAGATGTAGAATATAGGGTGAAGGGGCTTACCTTTGTAAGATTAAAAAAAACTGTTAAAAATTAGTTGCATGAATACTAGTTTAATCCCTGGCTGGGTAGCTTATTTGGTTAGAACAGGGGTATCAAACTCATTTTTATGGGGGGCCACATTGAGGTTGCCTTCAAAGGGCCAAATGTAATTTTAGGACTGTATAAATGTAACTACTCCTTAACTAGGGACAAGGAGCTCATCACTGCAGCCAGGTAGAAACAAGGTGCCAGGCCGGATAACAAGGTGTAGGGCCAGATTCGGCCTGTGGGCCTTGTGTTTGCCACCTGCGGGTTAGAGCATCATCCCGACATGCCAAGATTTCGGGTCCCAGGTCAGAATCAACCAATCAATGCATCAATAAGTGGAACAACAAATAGATGTCTCTCTGACAAATCAATCAATTAAAAAAAAACCCATTTAAGAATGGTTTACAGATATTTTGGCATAACACAACTAAAATGCAAAAGTGCAAAATGTTTTCTCTTTTTGACAAAAGCATAAGCTATAAACTACTGAGTTAAATAACTCCAGCAATCATACTATTGTCAAATATCCAGATTTTAACAGACAATCTGGAAAACAATTTTGCGTAGTACATAAACTTCATGGGACTATGCTAAGAGAACAATCTTATTGAAGATGATAAATATACCTTTAAAACTCTTAAGCATTTTTTAAAATACAAAAAGCAAAATCAGAGCCAGAAGGGATTCTGGATAGCCACTCAAACTTTCTGAAACATGAATTATTCTTATACTTTTATGGTAACTAGAAAAAGTACTCACTTTACAAAGTGTGCTAGAAGTGTGGCCTAGTAGACCATGTATTAACTCATTTCTTCATTTATTCAGCAAATAGATATTGAAGAGACACCACCTAGTAATATTCCCTACACGTCGTACTGCAGCCCTGGCCATCCCATTTGTGTGTGTCGGATACTTGACTACCTGCAGCTGCCGCTCCCCTCTCCTGGGACAAAAATGGGTCACTGCAAGCTCCGTCTTTCCTCCACCTGTCTCGGCCTCCCCACACCTACCCTAGTCTGGGCCCCCATATGTCTAGATCCTATAGGTGTCCGGTATTTTTCTGCCCCAGGTCCAAACGACAAACACAAAGCAGGGCAAATGTCAAATAAGCTCCATGTAGTGAGGTAGCTGTGTGCTGAGGGAGGAGTGCTGGAGAGGGAAATGATGACATGGCAAGCTGAGGCTTGGTGGGAATGCGTGTGGCCTCTAACCACTAATCAGAACATGTTCCCCGACAAAGTGAAGCTTCATACATGAAACAAGGCAGAACATGTGAAATCATAGCTGTCCTTGTAAGTGCAGAAGCAAGTGTATATAGTATTTATTTGTCTTCTAACTTATTGGGGAAAACATTGGCTGTGATGGGATTTCAGGAACTATTTAAGTGCAGAGGGCTGAAAGAACAGAGTATGAAAGCACAGGGAAGAAATAGGGCTTACTGCAGGTATGGAGTTAGGCATGGGAATAGCTGAGAATAAGGGAAGTGTACATTTGGAAAAGTACCTGACCAAATGTTTGCACAACAGCCCTAATTCTAAGGTTATGGGATTTTCCATTTTTTTCCCACCGCTTTCAATTAAGGGTGACAAGATTACTATATGTCTAACACATTATGTATTTTTTCTTTATGTATATTTCATTTTATCTTTAAAAACTCCCTGCCAGATAAGAATCACCCCTCCCCCAATTTTCCTATGAGGAAACAAAGAAATAAGTTCCATACAAACACAGCTACCAATAGCAAATCATCAATTGTTTGACTCCAATGTTTTTTTTGTTTCAGGTAATAGGATATAATCTGAATCTCCTAAAAGAATCTGAGATTGAGGGATCAAGAGAAACTTTATTGAGTTGAGAGCAGTAGAGATTCTGCCTGAAACCATTTCACATACAGTCTTAAAACTTCAGAAATGGATAAAATAATTTTAAAAGAAAATTTCCAAATAGTTTTTTAAACTATGAGGTAAAAGGGACAACAGCATGAAAAACAAAGCAGCGCAGTGGACAGGACCTCATCGAGTGGATTTACATTCCAGTCCTGACCCCACCACCTTGGACCTAGCACTAGCCGTTGTTAGGCTTCATTGGTTTAGTAATTTGGATCTTCCCGACCCTTTAAAGTTATTACAATTCTATGAGTCGTTACTTACCAACCCTCCCACCAACTCCAAAATAGAAGCTTCTCAATTCCTAACTCTCAAGAAGTTGGAAAAGGAGGTACAGAGGACCCTGGAACAATGTCAGGGTTAGGAACATCCACTCCGTACAGTTGGAAATGAAAACCCAGGTATTATTTAAGCTTGACTTCCCCACTTGTGAGTTTGCAGATGCAGATTCCCAACTCCCAAAAGGAAATGCTGTTTTCTATCAGCAGTTAGTGAGTGAATCTGTGAGTGTGAAACCCAGGGATACATAGGACCACTGTATATTGATTGGGAAAAAAACCCATTTAAGTAAACCTGGGCAGTTCAAGGGTCTACTTGCATTTGAGAACAGACAGAAAATAGAACCATTAACGAGGAGAGTATCATTACTCATACAATGCCCAGAAATTCATGGAAGATGATATGCAGTCTGGTGCCTGTCACTAATTCTTATGTCTACGACTTGATTAATATTTAAAGAACACCCTGGCTTTCATTTCTGCCATTATCAAAGTAACTAACCTATAATTACCCCACAAATGTGTTCCTAATAGGTTGTGAGGTGGCCTTAGAAGTTATAGTTAAGGGTGAGGTTCTGGAGCCAATTGAAACTGCCTGGTTCAAACGCAGTCCTGTTGCCTGCTTGGTGACCTTAAGGAAATTCATCTATAAAATGGACACATTTTCATAAGGCTTCAATGTCCAAAATTTATAAAGGACTTGCAAAACTCAACACCAATTTAAAAATGGGCAAAAGGCCCAAATAGACACTTCTCCAAAGAGGACACACAGATGATAAATAGACGTGAAAAGATGCTTAATGTCATTAATCATCATAGAAATGAAAATTAAAACACCTGTCAGAATGGCTATCATCAATAAATCAATAAATAACAAGTGCTGGAAGGATATGGGGAAATGGGAACCCTCATGCTCTGTTGGTGGGAATGAAGATTGGTTCAGCCCCTATGGAAAGCACTATGGAGTTATTGCAAAAAATTAAAATGAAAATGTTTTATGACCCAGAGATTCCACTTTTGTGACTATATCTGAAGAAATCCCACACATTGACTTCAAGAATATATGCATCCCTATCTTCATTGCAGCATTATTTATGACAGCCAAGATCTGGCAGCAGCCCAACTGCCGGTCAGTAGATGATAAAAACGCTGTGGTTCATTTACAGGATGGAGTGCTACTTGGCCATAAAAAAAAAAAAAAGAAAAAAAGAGAAAATCTTAATTCCCGAAACAGCATGGATAGAGCTGGGCAGTATTATTCAAAGTGAAATAAATCAAAGAGAGACAAGTACCAGTGATTTCACTTACATGTCGAATCTAACGAACAAAATAACAGAATAGAAACAGACTACAGATACAGACTACTCTGTATCTACAAATACAGAGAACAGACTACAGATACAGATTACTCTGTATCTACAAATACAGAGAACAGCCGGACAGCTGGCTGTCAGGGGGCAGGTGGGTCGGGACCTGGGTGGGAAAGTTGGAGGGATTCGGAAAAGGAATGGGGGGAGACACGGAAGTCAGCTGGGTGGCTTCCGGAGGGAAGGGGCAGGCGGTGTGAGCTAGCGCAGGGTGCAGCGGGGATAAATGGCGATGGAAACGCTGACTTGGGGTGGTGCACACACAATGCAATGTACAGACGAAGTACTATAAAATTGTACACTTTGAACCCATAGCGCCCCAATGAATTCAAAAGGAAACATAAAATGAAAATAAAATGAATTTTGAGATAGAAATAATCCAGTTCCCGCACCACAGAGCGGCTTCATGGGCAGATAATCCATGAAAAGCCCCGTGCAGGGCACACAGTAAATTCCAATAAACGTTGAGACATAAAAACTTTTCAAAGGAATTCATGAACATCCTGGAACGAATTGTCAGATTACATTTTTAAGGGTTTCCCCTTTTAAAGCCAAGTCATTTCTAACTTTTCGTATACTATGTAGATTTTTGACACATCGGATTTTAGTGAAATATGAAAATTAACAGGTTGTGCTATTTACTCCATCACATGCTAATCATATCACTTGTGAGGTGGTTTTGATTTAATAACCCCCTAAACTGTTGTGGAATAAACGAATCAGGGCCCGCCCGTCAGCTCTGGTAGCAAAAGATTCAGCGTCAGGGCTCCTGGTTTCTCCGTGGTATCTGTCAGCCTCGCGACAAACGTGCGTCAGCTTGGCTGGGAGGGGGCGTTTGGATACAAAGTTTCCCACCTGCGAGAAAAACAGGAGCTTGTGCGTGGAGCGGCGTGCAGTGCGTTTTTGCATCTCGGACACCGGCACCTTTTACGTAACCTCAGCACTGCCGGGCCTCGCGGCCGTTTTCCGTGCCCTCCCCGCCAGGCCAGGATTAGGTTACCACGCCCGCGGGGAGCCCGGCCTCTCTGAGTTCCGCGGCCGGCTGTTCTGGACGTTTACTTTTGAATTTCCCGGAACCGCCGGGTGTGGACCGTGGCACGGTCCCGCCCCGGAAACCCCCAGGCCGTCAGCTTCTTCCCGCCACCCCCGGCCCTGCCCCTGCGGGGGTCGTCGCGGCGTGTTGGGAGGGTCCCGCCGGCGCTGGCCCCAGTCAGCGGACGAGCGGTCCCCGGCGCCGCTCCCCGCCGCCTCCAGTGCTTCCTCTACCACGCCCAGCTCCAAGCGCGGGAGGGACAATTGCCCGAAGGCCGGATTTTGAATTTACAGGCCCGGCCCCCGAGCCGCTGGAGCGCCCTGCCGACTCTCCATTGGCTGGCAACGGTCACGTGGAGGCGGTAGTACACCCGCCATGTTGGGCATTGCTATGCTTGGTCCCGCGCCACCTCCGCCCCCCGCGGCTCGCCTCCAGCCCGCCCCTCTGCCCCGCCGGAGAGGAAACAAAGTGCTGCGAGCGGGAGACTCGGCGGCGGCGGCGCGTGGACCCAGCTCGGCCCTCCCGATCACTCTGGCCCCGCATCTTATCTAGTGCGTGCTTGTGTGTGTGTGCGCGTGCCCGCGCGTGTTTTCTTACAAAGGGCATTTTACGACTGATTGGTTCGCAGCCCTCCCTCTTTGCCCTTTGTGCTGTAATCCGGCTCCCTCCATCCAGGTGCTTCTTCCTCCCCTCTCCGGCCTCTGCACGATCGCGGGTCGCCGGTGTGTGCCTGCGATCCCCGCCTCGCTCCCTTCAGCCCGCTGCGTGTCCCTGCTCTGCCCCCGGCCTCCCCGCTCTCCCCGCAGATCGCCCCGCCGCCCGCCATGGCGACCGCGACCCCCATGCAGTCGCGGACCAGCAGCCGCGTTAGCGGCCCCGCCACGCCGCTGAGCCCCACGCGGCTGTCGCGGCTGCAGGAGAAGGAGGAGCTGCGCGAACTCAACGATCGGCTGGCGGTGTACATCGACAAGGTGCGCAGCTTGGAAACGGAGAACAGTGCGCTGCAGCTGCAGGTGACGGAGCGCGAGGAGGTGCGCGGCCGGGAGCTCACCGGCCTCAAGGCGCTCTACGAGACCGAGCTGGCAGATGCGCGACGGGCACTGGACGACACGGCCCGCGAGCGCGCCAAGCTGCAGATAGAGCTGGGCAAGTTCAAGGCCGAGCACGACCAGTTACTCCTCAAGTGAGTGCTCCTTTGACCGCCGGGTTAGCGCGCGCCAAGGGATGGGGGTGCACCCCGCCGCGGCCTCCAGAACCCCCAAGAAGGAGAGCGAGGGCTTGAGTGCCCACGCCCTTCGGAAGGGGCAGGGTCTCAATCTCCGGGAAACAGAAAGAATCTAATGTTGCTTAGCTCAGGGGTTGCGGAGGGGGCTTGAGTAGTAGCGATGTTGGGACTGGATACACATTTGCTGATTCTGGATACCCAGCAGGGCCAGGAGGTGTCGGCGCCTGGGGCCGCAGGAATGCCCTGCTTCGGGCCTCGGACCCCAGGATACAGAAGAGTTGTCCTGCGTGGAGGCCTCGGGGGCCCTAGGTACGGGGAGATGGCGTCTGGGCACGCGCTCCAATGCGCGACCTGGGTTCCGGCTGGTGCAAGACAAATCGTCTAGTGGGTTTACAGTGCGGAGGTGGCCGGCCAGGGAGGACTTGCTACCCGCCTCAAGAATGAATGAGTTTTGTGCTGGGCGGAGGGAGGAAGGGGAGGGACCTACTTTAAGCGTCCACATCTCCAGGGGGTGGGTCCTGCTTTGGCGCGCTTAGTCTCAGCCCTGTGACATTTTGTGAGCGTTCTGCGCCTGCCTTGAGAGAGGAGGGAGGGGCGAAGTCGGAACAGCGCGCCACTGCCTGCCCCGGGCTAGCTGGGTTTCCAAGCTCCTTAGGTTTCACTGGATAAAGGTGTCCTTTCTGCGGAGACGGGCGGGGCTCTTGGGTGCTTCTGTGCTCAGGACTCGCGAGCTGGGTTATGCTTGTCATGGCCACCATTCTCCCATTTGTGACCCTCATACTCCCTAGGTAGCCGTTTTTCCCCCAGCTTTTGCGCCCGCATTATAATGGTAGGTCTCTCGGGTAATGGGAAGACTTTGCTCATTCCCCGCGTCTGTCATTGTGCTGACAGGCCAGGGCAGGTGCAAGGGTGTTGTGTAAATGTGGAGTGTTGTGGCGAGGGAGAGCTTGTAATTATTCCAGCTAAGGGGCCCCGAGTTTCATTGTAGTGCACAAAGGTAAACTTTCAAACCTTTGCTGATTCTACCTTGACTTTCTGATGAGCAAGATGACATAACTCTCATCATTAGGCAACTTAGTGTTGATATCGGGCTTTAGACATTTGCTAAATTTGGGTCCAGAATTCATGCTTTCCAACCTCGTTGCCAAATGAAATTTGGCAAATGAAAATCGATTTTTTGACTCTGTCCCTGGATGTTTTTCTATCTGTATCCGTGTGAATGACCCTGCCTCAGTCTCTGATTTTGTATCTGGTATAATAAAAGGGTGAATCTGTACTTCCCCCTCTTGTTACATACTCGTAAAAACGGCTCAAAAATGTATGTGCACTTGGTAAAAAGAAAAAAATTGAGGCTGATTTATAGTGAAAAACGAAAATAGTCTCCTGTCTCCAGGAAGTAATCACGTTTTGCCTTTTTTTGTTTTTATTAAAGTATTGAGTTCCACAACTCAGAAATAACCATAAGCTTATTCCATTTATTGGATTTACCAACCTTGTAGTCATGTTTTGAAACAAGTTCAGTCACTCAAACTACTGTCTCCATCTTCCCCCCCAATTTCTTGTTACTGAGTTTTTTCAAATCTTTGATGCCATTTTTGTATGACTCACCACTGCTGTGTACCATTAAGAAGAAAAAGAAACATCAGAGTCAATTATGTAGGAACCATGCTATTGGACCCATCCTAGTTTTAGATATGTTAAAATGTAGCACTGATTAAGTATGTTATATGTCAATTACTGTCCTTATGTTTCTGAGGGTGCAGCGGGGAAAGATACCCAGCAAGCAAATAAAAACTGCATTTCATCAAATTTGAGGCATTTTGTTGCTTTTTTAATCTTTCCAGAATGTATCCATTGAAGGTTTTTCACCCAGTAACAAGACTGCCACCTGGCTGACTGTAGCTGTAAAATGCTGGGTATTGTTTGTGATGTGAGTTGCATTCTGGTTTCAACAGGATTGAAGTGTGAAAGGATGTGTATTAAAATCAATGAAATAGCCTGGCTGGTGTAGCTCAGTGGATTGAGCGCGGGCCTGCGAACCAGACAATCGCGGTTCGATTCCCAGTCAGGGCACATGCCTGGGTTGCAGACCAGTTCCCTGCAGGCCAGTTCCCAGCAGGGGACGCACGAAAGGCAACCAAACATTGATGTTTCTCTCCTTCCCTTCCCCTCTAAAGATAAATAAATAAAATTTAAAAAAAAAAGAAATTCTACAATATGCAAAAATACTTAAAAAACATATTTAAAAAAAATCAATGAAATAACATACAGTATGTGATTTAATGGTGGATAGTAACAGATGCTAGGGGGATAAAAATAAAGCAGGGTGAGGTGACAGTGTGGTTAAGAAAGGCCTGAGAGGTTGTCAGTTGAAAACAATCTGAGATGTTGGGTAATGACCTAGGGTTATGTTTTTGTTACATCTATACATATATATTTATTGTCAAGATTATATGTAAATTAGTCCACCCTTATAAGAAGGGGATATATTCCAAGACCCTCCAGTGGATGCCTGAAACTGTGGATAGTTCCAAGCCATCCATATATTTATGTATGTATATATATGTATATATATGTATATATGTGTGTGTACATGTACACAAACATACATACATGTATATGTTTTTTCTTACAAGTACATAGCTACAGTAAAGTTTAATGGATAAATTAGGCACAGTAAGATTAGCAATAGCTAATAATAAAATAGAACAGTTTTAACAACATAGTGTAATAAAAGTTACATGAATGTGGTCACTCCTTTCAAGGGGTCATTTACTGGAGTCTTTATACAGGCTCAGTGCATTCTGGTGCAACATGTTGCCACCAGTTACGCCTTTTCTGTGTTGCACACATGAATTTTAATGGTTTTTCCATCTTAATTTATTACATACTGTGGCTGTAACTTTTGCAGTTTGAGGTTTGGCATCAAAACTGCCACAGGTTTCTTTTTCCTTTACAGTTTCATAGATAAAAGATTTGTTCTTATTCTAGAGGCTAGCAAACTGAGTAGGATTTTTTTCTTTCCTTATTAAGTTGAGAACTTTAACTTTTTCACTTAAAAGAATCACTTTACGGTTTTCTTTGGCATATCGGAATTGCCAGCGTCACTACTCTTGCATTTGGGGGCCATTATTAAAGCATATAAAGGTTACGTGAACACATGCACTGTGATACTTTCTGCAGTTGATCGGATAACCAACTGAGAGGGATACTAAGTGACTAACAGGTAGGTACCGTGAGTAGCGTGGATACTCTGGACGAAGGGATGATTTACATCTCAGGTGAGCTGGACCAGGAGAGAGTGAGATTTCATCACATTTACTCAGAATGGCTTGGCAATTTAAAGCTTATTTATTTCCGGAATTTTCCACTTAATTTTTTTGGACTGTGGGTTGACTGCAGGTAACTGAAACCTAGAAAGTGAAACCATGGATGGGCGTGGGGGCTGCTGTATTTTTTTCTAACATGCCATCAGTTGCTTAACACATGCCCCACTTTGTTTTGTATTTAAACTTTTGACTTTCCTTATATAATTTTATCCCTAAATAGCCTTTCATTTTTTGTTGTTGTTTTTGCTGGCTAAAAGAAATACTTGCCTTCAGTGTATCTTCAAATCCTTTAAGGATATATAACCATAATATCTATGACATAAGCCTGTTACCGAACAACAGGAGGTCCGAGGGAGGGGCAATACAATATTTGGCCCATCCAGGGATGCCCAAAACTGCTATACAACAGGGGCCCCTCCCGAAAACCAAAATACTAAAATCTACTGGGCCCTTCTGTCCGCCGCCAATTGGAAACACATCTCTTAATGCCAGAGATTTGTGAAAAGGAAACAAAATGTTTATTTAATGCTATTCAGGCCTAATGCCACCACTAAAGTATCAAAGTCCTTTAGGTTGTACACCTACACCCACACAGCGCTCCCTTCTCCCTCTGTCCCAACTCCGGGTACCGTAAATCAGGAAAAGAGCACACGTCTGTGTTGCAGGCCGCTGGCACCGTCAGCTGTGTCACTGTGCAGGATCTCGAGTTAATCCAAAGTACTGTGGTACCCTCTCATAGTCCACTGGCAAGAGTCCTTTGTACCCAGTTCCAGTCAAAGTCTCTCTTGCTTTTCAGGCCCCGCGGCCAAAGGGGGAACCCCAAAGCCGCGTGGGTCTCTTCTACCAAAGCTGCAGGAGTCCGCACTCCACCAAAAGCATGTGGCTGTCTTCTTCACCTGGCTGCAGGGATCTCCATCCTGGCAAAGCTGCGTGGTTTTTCCCTTTCACCTGGGAAAGAGGGGGTCCGCACCCTGCCAAAACCACGTGGCTCCCTCTTTCATCTCACCAAGAAGGGGTCCTCACTCTGCTGAAACCGCTTGGCTCTCTCTCTCATCTGGCCAAGCGGGGGGACCCTTCATGTCTCGGAGCCAGTCTTTTCCAAGCTCCCACACAGGCCATCTCGCTCAGGAGCGCAGCCCCTAGTTACATTCTGAGTCCAAGCCCTTCTCACTCAGGAGTGCAGCCCTTAGTTACATTCTGAGTCTCTCAAGCCCTTCTCACTCAGGAGTGCTGATCCTAGTTCCATCCTACTCAGGAGTCCCCGCTAGTCTCTTCTCTAGTTCCCATCCTGCTCTCTTCTTCCTGGCTCCAAACTTGGCCACAGCTATTTAACATATCTATGAAACCAGTTAAAGGTTATAGATATGTTAAATAACCATTCCTCCGGAGGTTAGCTCCAAAACTGTTGCTATGCAAAATAGCTCTCAATGGCCTGGCTCCATTCATCCCTTCCCCCTGGGGGGGGGCGGTTAGGACATCTTATATGTCTCTCCATTACTCCCATACACTTTGAATTCTGGACACCATTCCAAATCTTTTTTGGGGGGGCCCCCTTTGGCTGCACCCTGTATCAAGCCTACTTTCTTCCCTGGAACTCTGCTCCTAAGATATGCTCCTAGCTGACATCCT